GCTCTTATGTATCAGGAAGTATGAAAATAGCACAGGACAGAACAAGGTTCAGAACTTTCGTTCTTAGGGTTGCTATGAGTCATATTCAACTCAATGGCACCTAACAACATCAACTTGGATTATCCAGATGGCACAATTTTGCTTGCCAAAAGAGAAAACTTGAAGCACTTACTGCAGAAGATCAAAGGCTAGAGCCTTCAATATGGATTACATGTCAACATAAAAAAAAAATTCTGCACACCCATGTTTATTGCGGTTTTGTTCACAAGAGCAAGGAGTTGGAAACAACCTAAGTGCTCATCAACAAACGAATGGATAGAGAAGCTCTGGTATATGCACACAATGGAATACTACTCTGCATTGAAAAACAAGGAACTCATGCAATATTATTTGAAATGGGTGACCCTGGAGGACATTATGCTGAGTGAAATATCTCAGTCAAAAGGACAAATACTGCATGGTGCCACAGTTGTAAAACAGGACTGACATCAGGGTTGGGGGAAGAAAGATGGCATAAATAATGTATAATGCATTGAAACAGATGAGGGAGAAAACTGTTTAAAAGGGATATGTGATTAGGTATTTTTGTCCACAGGAGTCCAGAAAGATGGCTGCGTTGTCGAGTGGACCTGGGGGAAAGGATTGCAAAACAAAGGGGGAACTTTTCTTTTACTTTTCAAAGAGAAGAATGTACTGGGGAGGGAGGGGTAGGAGGGGAAAGTGTAACAATGAATGAACGGAAATCCAAAGTCTCTGTAAATGTTCACTGAAATTAATTAAAAAATTAAAAAAAAAAATCCTCACCACTGGACCAAAAGGCAACATCATGATATATGAGGAAGAGATAGAAGGGGTCAATTATTTCCTTTTACTTGGATCCATAATCAACACCATAGTAGCAGCCAATCAAGAAATCAAGAGACATTTGCACTGGCAAAATTTGCTGTTAAGGGCCTTCCCAAAGCCCTAAAGAGCAAGGGTGGCAGTTTAAATACTAACGTGCACATGATCCAGACCACGGCGTTTTCAATTTCTTGTTGTGTATGTGAAAGCTGGACGATGAATTTGTGTTGATGAAGAGTACGGAATACACCATGGTCTGCCAAAAGAAAATCTGTTGGTTTTTTTTTTTTTTTGTTTTTTTTTTTAAATTTTGTGTGCGTGTACCGTCAAATCAGATCTGACTGGTACAGGAGGATATTGCGCCTCCTTCTCCGGCAGA